GCAGTGTCCATGCAGACGAGTTTCAACAAAGGGTACAAGTCACACATGAAATGATCTATGACATTGGGGCCACAGAATGGCAGCCAGACTGTGAAGAGGATCTGAATGGTTGCATGGAGAAATCCTCCAGCCCACGCCACTCCCAGCAGGAGAATGCACAGCTTATGGCTCATGATGGTGGTATAGTGCAGAGGTTTGCAAATGGCGACATAGCGATCATAGGCCATCACCGTCAACAGAATGATCTCAGTAGCACCAAAAATGTGTTCTGCATAGACTTGAGCCATACAACCATTAAAAGAGATCATTTTCTTTTCATGAAGGGAATCCACAATCATCTTAGGAGCTGAAGAAGAACAATAGATTAGGTCTATCAAGGAAAGGTGGGTCAGGAAGAAGTACATGGGGGAGTTCAGAGCCTGGCTGGTGGTAATGGTAACCACAATGAGCAGGTTGCCTGAGAGAGTTACCATGTATAAGACCAAAAATAACAGAAACACGACTTTCTGCATCTGAGGGTTCTGGGTAAGTCCTGTTAAAATGAATTCAGTCACATTCCTTTTATTCTCCATCTATGTTGTATGTGTGAGAAAAACTCCAGGGAGGAATGCTTTACCTTTAAAAAAACAAATGAAGGAAGAAAAAATGAACTTAAACCAGTGATATTGATAGTCAATAAGTCAAATATAAATTGTCAACCAGATAAGTTTAATGCAAAATCTATTTCCACTTACTTGATGAGGAATATACATATCATTCAAGTAAACTTCAAGATAGTACTAAAAACTAATTTTGTCAATGATTAATTGCTACTTTTTGATGGCGCTCAGATGCCTTTATTCTCTATCTCCTTTTTTATTTTAAATTATATATATATGCCTAAAATGCAAATTATCCCCACAGGAGTTCGACCGGAAGGCTGATTGCTTGCTGTGACATGCGTTGACCACCAGGGCAGTGCGGAATAAAGGAAGACCCTGTCCGGCAGCCAGTAGCCAAGGAAGGGAGGCCTTGGTCAGTAGCCGGAAAGAAGGCCCTGGAGAGCAGCCGAAAGGCCTCAATCGGCCCAGATTGCAGGCCAGGCCTAGGGACCCTATCCATGCATGAATTTCGTGCACCGGGCCTCTAGTATTTTAATGTATTCCTAAAGCACAGAGGCAGTGAAGGGTAAGACAAACTGTTTATGTTACAATGGACAAAGGTACATAATACTTAAACCAGTGATATTGATAGTCAATAAGTCAAATATAAATTGTCAACCAGATAAGTTTAATGCAAAATCTATTTCCACTTACTTGATGAGGAATATACATATCATTCAAGTAAACTTCAAGATAGTACTAAAAACTAATTTTGTCAATGATTAATTGCTACTTTTTGATGGCGCTCAGATGCCTTTATTCTCTATCTCCTTTTTTATTTTAAATTTTATTTTATTTTATTTTTCCATCACCTTTTATCCCTTCTATGCCCTTAGTTACCATACTGGCATCCATGTCCATGAACTCTCTTTTTTGAATTTCGTGCACCGGGCCTCTAGTATTTTAATGTATTCCTAAAGCACAGAGGCAGTGAAGGGTAAGACAAACTGTTTATGTTACACATGGACAAAGTACATAATGAGGTACATGGGAAGGAAACTTTTTTTAGATGATTCCACAAATGTTTCTTTGAGAAGCTAGCCTTAGCATTCCAAGCCTGGATAGTGGTTTCCCTTCTACATCATCCACTGCATTGGAGAATCCTTCCAGGGACAAGAACCCTTAAGAAGAAAGCTGAGCACACGTCTAATTGCCAACTCTTCTCTAGAGGAGATGGCTCTTGCGAGAACCAACAACCGGCTACTGATATGTTTTACTAAATTCCTGAAAGTCTGTGCCAAAAATTAGATTTCATTATCAAAATCAGTTAAACTTGATTCATTCGTCATCATTATTTATTACTTCAGTTTCTTGCAAACTTTAAGGTAATTCAAATATATAAAACACTTCTTTACAATTTCATCTGCCTCCTTTTGTCCCTCGCCACACAGCAATAGCTTGGCCTTATGTCAAAATTGATGTCCTCTGTTAAATGGCAGGCTCAAGCACAGGATCAGTTACTTTTCTGTCCTAGTTCAAAGACCAATAGTGTGCCTGTTGCCACTCAAACTCTCTAATACCCATATTTTTAAAAAAACAAGATGTGGAGAAAAGTGTTGATCTAGCAGAATGACCCTGATCTTTCATAAAAGGGCCCCTGGACTGCAATTAAAAGGCAAAGGACTAAGCAGACAAACTTCTTCCACATGTTCAGACATTTTGAAATGCAATCTTTTATTATAACTCTAAATAGCATGAACAGATTTACTTTCACACCATGTAGTTCCTATAATGGCAGTTACTTTTTGTGGAGTGTTTGCCATGTGCTAGGCATTATACTAAGTACTTTACATGCATTATCTCACGTAATCTTCACAACAATGCTTTGAGGTTGGTACTCAATTATCTATATTTTAAAGAAAAGAAAACTGTGGTCAGGAGAGGATAAATGATTTGCTCAAAGTCATAATGGTTAAAAAAAAAAAAAAAAGCAAAGGAACCTGTATTCAAATCCAGGATGTCTGTCTCTATCTTTAACATTAGTATTTCTCCAGTTTAAATTCAATTTACTTCTAGGAATCAGCAATGCCAGAGTTTGACAGTGGGTTGGGATCTAACAATTCAAGGTTTTACTGGACAAAACCCTTGAGTTGCTTTACATTAGAAATCCTTCAGAACTTTTCATTTATCAACTAATACACTCTTCAGAGATAAGGAAACTGAGGCCCAGAGATGTGAAGTCTAATGAAACACAGATAATTGATTAGTATCAGATCACAATAAGAACACAGATCTTCCAATGTCCAACAAGGTAATTTATCCCCACCAACACACCTTGCATTTCTTAAGATGCCTTAAGACAAGCTGGACACAAGGGGGAAAATCACCCTACAGTGACAAGGGAATTAACTTTCATCTCTTATCTTTAGCAATACCTATCTTAACTCTCTAAAAAAGGGCTAAGTTCAGGGATGCAGAAAGTCAGTTATATTATTGAAACCACAATCCACTGCAAGAGAAATAAAGTCTTACCTGGTTGAAACAAGATCTAAGAAAGTTTGAAGAGTCAGAATAAAAAGTGCCCTTGAGCCTGGTATTTGATATAGATTCCCAACCACAGCGGAAGGTACATTCTTTCCTCATAGATCCTATAAATTAATGCATTCTTCTTATGGATCTGTTTTAGGACTGAAGTTTTCCTTTAAGAAACAGAATCCAAATGTTATGCTTTACCTCTGTCCTATGCTAACCTGTCTTGACCAGAGTGAATGTCACACATCCTGTCTCAGCTTCACCTCAAATTTTCCTTCATTATCCTCATTTGCTTCTCATGTCTCCTGTCAGTACAAGGTATGGTTTTTCTCCCCATTTATTCCTGCTAATTATCAGTCAGAGCACTATTTCAAGTAAATAAATTACTGTACATAAGCCAATCTCTGACCATCCAAACCATCGCACCAAATGCCCTACCCCTGAAGGAAACCCTCAGTGGCCCATCCAGCTCCAACCTGCGGATCTACTGTGGTGTCTCCCACTCTAAAGCCTAGAAATTGACTTAGGGATCCATAGAATGTAAATCTACTCCTGATAATATAAATATACCAATATTCAGTGAGGATAACAAATATTTCTGCAAAATACCCTAAAACATCTTAAAGTGATCCCCATCAAATATCAGAAAGTAATGCTTCAATGATTTTAATTATAAACCCATTGGTAGAAAATGGAAATGTGGAAACTGGATTAAAAATCTACAATTCTGGTTAACTTACCGTAATTGCCTTTGTAGTTAAAAAGAATGTCCGGAGTATTCAGGAATAAGAATTGGCCATTATATGAAACTGTTCAAATATAATATTATATAATAGATATTTTTCAAGACCCTACTGATCACAAAATATTATAGGAAGCAGAGAATATGAAAATGGCACAAATTTATTCAAATGGTTTCATCCAAGCATTTTAAAA